CTACTTTCCAATGCAACTTGAATCACTCCATTATCATTTGTATATCAAAAGTTATGAGCATAATAGTGAACAGGTGTCATATTTGCCAAGTATTTCATCAACGTTTTGCTTCATTTCCACTCAATTAGCTCCGTTAATCCTGAAATACATCAAAAACAACGAAACTACCCATAAAAGCATCGAAAATAAACCAAATTACACCAAAATGGACTAAAACACTCGACTAAGCTAATAAAACCAACCAAAAATAAGCTAATAAATATGCACAAAACACGACTTATCATTAATAAACTCTATTCTATCTCTCTCCTATCACACGAGTCCATTTTTTTCCAGCAACTTTTTGGTGCAGCAGGCCACATCGTGTGACAGGGGTTACTCGAGTTATTTGTTAGGGGTTACCCGAGTTATTCGGTCAGGTGTTACTCGAGTTACTCGTTTAGGGGTTACTTGAAAGGTTCGGACAGGGGTTACTCGAGGGGTTCACTCGCTCAAGGGTTACTTGAGGGGTTACTTGGTCAAGGGTTACTCGAGTTACTTGGTCAAGGGTTACTCGAGTTACTCGGTTAGGGGTTACTCGAGGGGTTACTCGGTCATGGGTTACTCGAGTTACTCGGTTAATTAGGGGTTACTCGAATTACTCAGTTTGGGGTTATTTAAGGAGTTCGGTCAAGGCCGGGATTACTCGAGTAATTCGGTCAGGGGTTACTTAAGGAGTTCAGTTCAGGAGTTACTTGAGGGTTAAATCAGGGGTTACTTGAGGGGTTACTCATTCAGGGGTTACTTGAGGGGTTACTTGGTCAGGGATTACTCGAGGGGTTCGATCATGGATTACTTGAGACGTTACTCGGTCAGGGGTTATTTGAGGGGTTACTCGGTCAGGAGTAACTCAAGTAACCCTGATCGAGTAACTTGAGTAACCCCGACAACTCGAGTAACCCCTGACCGAGAAACTCGAGTAACCCCGACAACTCGAGTAACCCCTGATCGAGTAGCACAAGTAACCTCTGCCGCATGGTACAGCAGACCGCATACAAAAAATTGTGTGTTTTATTTTTAAAATCTCTATTTCTTTCATTTCCAAAAATTGTCTAGAAGTCCGTAATTTGCAAAGTGATGCAATTAAAAAAAAAGGGAAGAAATAGAAAAACTGCTCTGAGCTTGTTTGGTTGAATGTAGGAATTACAAATACCTTGGAAATATTTACCATGAAATTAAACTTCCTAGGAAATTCTAAAAAGTGCTTGGTTAACCAAGAGAAGTGGAAATTTGTTAGAATATTGAATATATTTACCATATATTCTATATTTATCATGTTAATGTATAGGGGTGTTCAAATATGGGTACCCGGATATTCGGGTACCCGAAAATCCGGGTAGTTGATAAGTCGGCACGTGTCTCGTCCCGAATAATTTGGGTACCCTAATTATCCGGGACGGGACATGGGTACCCGGATTTTATTTATTTATTTATTTATTTTGTAAAACAAACCGTAAACTTAATAGATGGTGAATGGTTTCCAATTTTCCACTGTCTCAAGTTCTACGAGAGGCATAATGTGGGTGGAAATTTCCTGCTCTTCCTTCCATGCTTACGCCTACATTAGTCTAGGTAACATAATTTCGGATTCAAAATCTTGCATCTACTCAGCATTCTGTCCATTAATTAACTAACATGCACATAAACATGTTTGGCAAAAACAACTCCTCGTTGAAATATGTCATATTGCCATTCTTGTGGTTTCTACTCCTTGCTTAAGATGTTATAATTTATAATTTCTTGTAAATCTATTCGAGTATCCAACAATGATCTAAATAAGCACACACATGTTGACAGAAGAGGATTTAATTTGATTTTACAACTGAAAAATTAAAAATCAAAGATTTGTAATATACCGCAAATTTAAGGCATGGAGGAAAATTGAGCCAAATTTCTGGAGGAATTGATGTGCCATGTATCTCTGCATAGCCATTTAGCAACCGAAGGCGAAGAGGCGAATTCTCACCCACCTCTATTCGTAATTCACCCGGATTTCTATTTCTGGGTTTTTGATTTTAGTTGGTGGGTACTGTTTAATTCTGGGTGAAGATGAAGTTTATGAAGCTTGGATCTAAACCTGATTCATTTCAGACTAGGCTGGTTAACAGATTTTTTTTTACGGGTGTCCGAGATTAGCAAAGCCTGTCCCATGTCTCGGCCCACGAAACTGCTATTTTAGCGAAACGGGTACTGACCTGAAAAAAACTGAAAAATTTGTCAATTTTCCATCGGATTTTTTGCGGGTCATCGGGTAATCGAGACGGGACAACCGGGTTCGGGTTTTTTTGAACACCCCTATTAATGTATATCTTGTTCGTGATAATATATGGTAAATATATTCTAAAAAAATTTCCATGGGAAGTTCCACTTACCTAGATCCCCCTAGGTAATTTAGTTCTTCCATTTTGTGGGAAGTGAAAATTCCTAGGAATTTCTACTTCTCATGAATTTGTCAACCAAACACCATAAAAGAATTTAAAATCCTAGAAATTTCAACTTCTCATGTTTCATTTTGTCAACCAAACAACACCTGAAGAAGGGAATGATGTGAGCTCCTCTCTAATGCAAAAAGTAAAAACTGTAAAAAAAAAAATATATATAATAATAATAATAAAAAAAAGAAAAAGTGAAAGGGCATACTAGGAATCTTTGTCCAGTGAAAAAAAGACAATTTAGATCAACAATCTAATGTATATTCTTAACATTTTAAAAGTAAAAAAGTTACCCAGATTTTGACATTTTTAGGACCACCAGCAAATTTAACTGAAATATGAGTCATAAAGCTAGCTTCTTATTGTCATCATTCACCATGAACTAATAACAAATTGACTTTTCTATTGAGTTTTAGTGTACTTTCTTTATCCTAGGAGAAAACCAACCAACATTTTTAAATTTTAACTTAATCTGATATCGATCTAATCGGTGCATAATACTTGCTTTTTAAGTAATGAGCAAAAAAAACGACCAGGAAAAGTTGAGTGCCTTTGAGTTTAATTTGGAAACACAAAACTAATTAGAGTACATTTTGCTAAAGTTAATAAAAGCACTCATATACTCCGTAATATTAACATGTCCGCACACCATGTTAGTAGCACACATAAATGTTACACCTAAATTGGCTAAATATCTAACTAATTAATTAGAGCACATGCGTGTTATACCTAGCCATGTGTAGGGAATTTTTTCGATTTAAATTTAGTTGTAATGAGGAAAAATATGTAATAAATAAGAGGAAATTTATGTAAATAAGAGGTATAAATGTCCGCGCACTATTTTGAAGAGTTTTAAAAAAGAGGCAATTAACATTAATGAGGGAAAATAAGTAAATAAACATTTTAGAAGATATAATTCTCCAAACACTATTCATAAGAGTTATCTCAGACTTTTTAAAAGGTGGGAGTAAAATCATATTTAGGTAGATATGGATACAATTCGTTTTTTAAAGTAACTATAGTATTAATGTTGTATAAGAATTTTAAAACTATATTTTTAGCCAAATAGCTACTCGTAATACTATACATAATGTTATCTCTTTTAGTAAATGATGAGCATGTATCTATAGACTCAGATTTGAACCTACATGTAAATGACTCCACATTCAACATTGATCAATTAATTCATATTCATCAACACTTAGTCAAATAATTCATGTACATAATAAGGTTGTTGTAAGAAAATTGAATAGATGGAAATCTTTATGATTGTCAGCTCACTTCTCAAAGTTGAATGGAGTCTAAATTGGCAATAGGACATAACCATAAAACACCAAAATATAGCCTAACAACTAAAGCTTAGCCTATTTGAAATAGTAAAAGTTTGAACAAACACGAAGGTATTATACTCTTATATATATTTCTAAAATTTTGCATGTAAAAGTAGTTGATTAAGTAGTTGATATATATATATATATATATATATATATATACTTTGTTCAGTTTTCTTTCCTAAAACTATAATGTTCAACAATGTTGAATAAACATATTAAATGAACATCTTTTTTCTCAATTGAGAAATTTGATGTTGAAGAAGCAACTTGTACTAAAGGGTCCATCTCTCTATACCTAATACGGAATCGAAAATTCTCTTCACGCAACAGGTAAAATGGAGAATTCCCTCACCTAAGATGTAAAGTAGTACACTAGTAGTAAGATCTATCTCCTTAGAGTGTCCTAGATCAAGTTAGATTACGGAGTAAAAGTCATCAAGTTTAGGTGTTTTCATTCCAAAACTACCATATTATTTAATTAAATTAACGTGAAAATACCTTTACATATACCCAAATTGTCAAAAAGTCCGATCCCTGGATGCATTTTGTCATTGCTCGCTATATCCAAGAGCAAAAAGGCATATAAGTAGTTCGGTAATAAATATCATTCTCTACATACGTACATACTCTAGTTAGCTAACCATTATATATATAATTGGCTAGCTACCTAGTATATATTGACATCTATATGACTTTCAAATTGTTTAATTTCTCTCTCTCTCTCTCTTTTTTTTTTCCTTATTATGTTAGTTCAATTGAAAGAAAAATGAGAAAATTGCAGAAATAGGGGTTCCTTGCAGCCCAAAGCAAGCGCGATAAACAAGTTTGTGTGGCTTTGGACTGAAGGGAGCTCCTAATTCTTCTGTTTTCCCTTGTTGTCTGGTTGTTCGTATGCATGTCTTCGATTAACACTTGGAATTGTCGATATCAGGGTACTAAACATGCAATGCATGCACAATTGCACATACAAGCAGTATCATTTGATCTTATTTATAGGTATGTACTGTTTTACGTAATAATACTTGTATTGTGTTTTTAAAGTGAAAGTGTGTTTTGAAAGGGTTTTGTTTTGATTAAATGTGTACATATCATCTCTTGTAAAGTTGTAATTGCCTTGCCATGTATCTTATCGATTGAAAGATCGATAATCAATCTGAACAAATTATATTATTACTAGCATTAGCCGATAAGTATCATCATATCAGTCAAGTTGATTGCTTTTGTTTTTGTTAGAGGTGAATTATGACCCTTTGTTTGTTAGGAATCTGCTAATCGACCAACAAAGATCGAGCCTGGCCATTCCTAACCTTCATCTCCCAAGCGACCGCTCATGGTGAGAATTGATGATCAAGTTATAAAGAACATTGTAGAATTGAACACTAGAGACAACCACATATAGAGCATTGGATGCTTGAACTAATTGGTTAAGTAGTTATTCTAGCTTGATCAAGCCCTAGAAATTAAGCGTTGGATGTAAAAAGGCAATCCGTCATCAAAGTAAAGGAAGAAAAAAATATGGGCTATTCTATTATCTCGTGGGCCCATTCCAATTCAAAGAGGGCCTGCCGACTAAATTTAAGTTCACAAAAAAACATAATATACTCATATCACTCATACATCAATATATGTAGTTTCATCTTCTATTTTTCTAGCAAATTTATGTGATCACTTTGTAGTTTGTACAACTGAATTACAAAACATAAATGTTTTCAAAAAAAAAAAAAAAAATTACAAAACATAAATGTTTTCAAAAATAAAATAAAATTACAAAACATAAATGATGGACATTATATCTTACTATTGTAATTGGTATAGTTTAAAGCATGCCAAAATGAAATGAAGACAAGACGTGTGGAATGGAGAAATCTAATGACAAATTAAAATTAGATAAGTAAAGTAAAGATAAATAATTGACATAGTACATGTTTTTTTTTTCTTTTTTTTCAAGAGAGTCATAAAGGGTAGATGATGCAGATGAGATCTGATTCCAGATCGGCCGACCTTAGGTACCATCCCCCTCAAGACATTTAACAACCTAGCTAAGCTAGTTGGTAACTTGGTATCCACAATGTAGTGCACTTGTTGTAAACTTGTTCTTTAATTTCTACAATAACCATTGATGAATTATTGCCAATTATTTAGAAATTGCTGAAACGTGGACAATATCGATTGGGCAAGTCGCGTTTTAGTGGGACCACCGGGAGATTATCACAGTCGCAAATCTCAATCACAAAACCATCTGGGTCATGGAAGAAGAGTTGATCAACGTTAATTCCACCTTCAATCACCCTGTTTTTAACATGTTCTATTTGCATCTCGTTTAGCTTCTTTTCTACCGTAGCTATGTTTTCGCACTACAATATCAAATCATTTTGTCAATGTGTGCGTAGCCATGCATTGTAGTTACTCAGCTTTAGAACATTTTTAATTAACATTCAAGGTTTAACGTACCATAAAATTGTTTTTTGATGCAAACGTACCATAAAATTATACATTAATTAACAAGTGTAAATTTTAAAAATGTTACGTTATTTAAAAAGCATAGGTTGTATGTCAAATTTTGTAGTCGTAGTTATAACCAAACTTTCAAACCAAATTTAGAGAACATAATAATTGAGAGAAGAAGAAAATGAAAGGGAAAAAGAAAAAAAAACGTACTATGAAGGAGATATGATTGTCCTTTGGATTAATCACTTTAGCATCTGGTTTGCCATTTGATTCATCATAATTACTCTCTAGCAAATGTATGCCAATACCGTAGTTAAACAACCTACAACACCAAACAATAAGGCGAACCAAAAAATTAAGGTCAATCAACCAGTAAACTTAAAACCCAAGAAGGAAAATGATGCACTTTTAAAGATAAATGTCACTTATGCTTACCAAGCACCGGGAAAATCTAAAGACCCTGGCCGTCTAATCGAGATAAACCCAAGGACATTTCGGTAAAAATCAAGAGATTTTTCAACAGAACGACACCTAATTGAAATGTGATTTAAGGATACTAAACGAAGAGGATTCTCTATGTTTTCTATAGTCATGATATCTTCGTCTTTGCACGTTGATTCAACCATGTATATGTAATCTAACACTAATCTAAGAAAAGAAAATCAAAGAATTGTATGAGTAGCAACCTAAAAATTTATAGTATATATAGAATGAATTAAGAATCAAAAGAAAATTATTGATGCTTTGACAATGTCGTATGTACGTAAATGTAGAGGAGTACATGTTTTATACGCCGGTCGAAAATATAAAAAAAAAATAATAATGTCTAATTCACGTAGATTTCCGCGTCGGAAATCTAATAATTAAGCTAGACATACAGCTGTTCCCATTAGATCGACATGATTACATAATTTGTTTAAATTAATTTCTTTATAAAATAAGGATATGGTTTACACATTCAAATAACTATAAGATAATTAGCTTAGCTTATCTCAAACGTTAAATACTTTTGTTGACAGGGTGTAATTCTTATCATTTCTCAATAATGTCGTGGCACAGGAAGAAGAATCGATGGTTTACTTTCGAGTGCATAGTAAGCATTGTGCATTCGTGTCCTAACCTACAAATAAAATATGTCATACGTTCATAAAGAATATACGGAGAGCAGTTTGTTGAAGAGGCACATAGCAGTGTAGCACTAATTCTAAAGAATGGCTCAACTAAAACCTATCAATTGTCAAGCTAGATCAACTAATTTGCTGATCACGTAATCACGTTTATCAAAGAGTTAACGGCCAACTAAATACCAAATTTGTTGGAAGCATAAAAAGAATTTTTAAAAAAACTGATTATCAAAAATTTAAGTATGTAATCTTCTAACAATAAAATGAAAGTACAATAAAATTTCTCCCATAAAAAAATATAATAAAACTATATGCAAAGTAATTCTCTTGCATTATTATAACTTCATTGTTAGCCAACAAACAAGAAAAAATTAACGTAATGTTTTATTCAAAACAAGCCAAATATAAAGTACTTTGTTGTTTCAGTTCAGTTTAATTGTTAAAATCCGATGATATTTTGGTAAAATTTAAGGGACCAATTTCAACAAGCAACACATGACTGAAATGTAATATGACGAAGAGAATTGTAGACATTTTCTTTGTCATAATAAGTTCTTCTTTTCATGCTATCTCGACTACATATAATCACAAACATTATATTAAATAATTTATATACTTCGTATTCAAAATTAGAGGTGTCAAAATCACATCCGACTCGATCCGAAATCGACCAAAAAAAATATTCGATTTAGATTTGATCTCGCGTGAACACAATAATTTAGCATGATTCAACTTTAAAAATTAACTCATCAGACTCGATCCGATCATCCCAATTGACACTTATATGCTAAATGATTAGTGTTGATAAGACTTTGCTTAATGAAAACTAAATGCAGATATATATTTATATGAAAATTTACTGTAGATGTTTGACTATGTAAGCAAATCAGCGGGGAAAAAAAAAGGGGTAAAAAACTACTATAATGCATGTTATACACTCAATGGACATAATAAATCAGTAATAACAAAAGTCAAGTCTAATACAAGTAGATTTCCCACGTTAATGATGCGAGATTGCGAGGGATACAGGTATTCACGTAATCAAGTTGTTTCTTTTAAACTCCATGTTATCTACGTGCATTTTGTTTAATAATCAGTTAATCACAACCCTACTAAACACACATATATCCAATATAATATTTCATTTAGTTAAATTTTCATAATGCTCAATAATTCATTTAAGACTAGGATAATTGGAACAACGTATAACTCCAAAAAAAAGTTTCAACCAAAAAACAATTGATATTGAAAACCTCCCTACTTCAATGGAGAGAGCACTCTAACTCCGTCAATTTTCACCCATCACTGCCAATTGTATGAAAGGAGAGGAAAATGTTTTTAATTGTACAGCGTGGGAAACGATGCTTTTTATTTATAAAAATGACATTTGATAAACATAATCTCATGTTTATCAATTTAATAATTTAGACACCTTGGTTTTCTCGTAAGATTATAACAATTGATAAACATTATCCCATGTTTATCAATGTTATAATCTATACACCTGGGCTTTCTCGTAAGATAATTTGTATGTAATTAATGGTACAATAGATATTATTATATTAGATTTTTCTATTTACTACTAGCATAAGTAAATAAAAGATACATAGTATTAATTACTCCTTAGCATTGTTATTAAAATTCCGATTTAAATCTTAGAATTTTATGATTTTACGATTCATGTATATCACACGATTCAATTTACGATTCTACCCGATTTTACATATTTCTCTTAAGTAGCGAAATTCTTAAGTTTAAAACATGCCTATATAGTTATTTATAAATATATATTGTCAATTATTGGTTGCTTAATAGGTAAACAACTACTCCCTATGTCCCTATTTTTTTTGCTCCATTGCCAAAATTTGAGTCAAACTTTGACCATAAATTCTCGTTATTCTACAATAGGTAATATAGTCACGTGGAATCTTGTTTGGTTCGTTTCATTGTATATTTAATTAATATCAACTTTTTATAATTTTCTCGCGTGTGAAAATGGAGATATAAATGATTTAACACGTGTCTTGGAGGTCGTGAAAAGTCAAATGGGGCAAAAATAAAGGGACAGAGGGAGTATATTCTATCAATAATTAGGTTTCAAACTCATAATTTAAATATATTTAATTAAATTTAGATATGACGTCTTAATTATACATGTCGGTAGAATCTTACGATTTTACGAATCGATTCTGATAGCCCATTTCGATTCAAAGTAGAATCCCGATTTTGATAACTTTGCTCCTTAGTAAAAATATTATTCCTTGTGATTTTAATTCAAATGAATGTTAGGAGTGACATTAAAACCTTTAATTTTATAATTCAACATTTAATACGTAATTAGAATTATTGCTTAATTGATTACTTGGAGTAGGAGTATCAGGAATGAAAGTTTGATTAATTTTTCTATCTGGATTACTATATATCTTGGTGAATTGTGCAGAGCACTACTTCATTTCGTAGCTTTCAAAGATTGGTTCAACTTAAACCTTAATTTCAACTTTCAAGATCAAGCAGACGGCTGATCACGACTGTTAAATGTTAATTAAAAACAAGTACTAAATTTGTTAGAAGCATAATACTAAATCAATCAAAGTAAGCTATAAATTTGTGGTGGGTTAGCTAGCATGAGTACAATCTATTTTACTATGATCGTTTTTATATGTGTCCAATTAGTTTATTATCAGCATTAGTATAAAGCCACTGATCTGAGCATTTTAGAAATATGGTCCTGTGAGCCAAAGAAAATAATTTTACAGTAATTGTATATACGTAGATTTGAGCATGTTTGGTTAGAGTATTTTTTGGGGTGGGAATGGATTCAATTCAACCATTACCATGATTAAGTGTTTGGTTAAAAGCTTATAAATAGTGTGAAGCTGCTCAAGTGATTTATCCATCCAAGACAAAATACAGAGAGTACTTCAAAAGAGCAAACAGTTTATCTTACTTAGTTTTATTTTTCTCTCTAAGCTTTCATTACCTTATTTGTAATTGTGATTGAGAGAAAAGAAAAGTATATCTTGTGAGTATAAAAGAAAATATCAAAGAGTGATATACTTAAAAGTATTTTTATAATACTTAAAGTATTTTTTGGGTAGTAGTAGTATTTTTATTTCTAGGATTTGAGTGACTAAAGTGTAATCGGGGGATTACGAAAAGAAGAGGGAATATCTTCTAGTTGCTTTAGTGCTCTAAGGAAAGAAATAAAAAGTTTGAAATCCTAAGGGTTAAAAACCTCTAGGTGGAGACGTAGGCATTCTTGCCGAACTTCGTTAACATATCGTTGTGTCATTTATTCTTTTACTTACTGCTTTTCGTTCTTTCCTTTTAGTTTCATTTCAAAGTTCATTTCAAAGCCTTGAAACCCAGAAAGTGAAATCAGTTTATTCCGCCTTGAAACTGATTTCAAGACCTTGAAATTACAGTCTTTGCGAAAAACGACCATACTCTATTCAACCCCCTTCTAGAGTATTATTATTGTAATTCTATCACCATATTGATCCTTCAGGTTAAAAACTTTAGGTAACAATTACCATTACCTAGGAGTAATGATTTCCATTATTTGTTACCTCTCTATAACCTAAGGTAACAATACCCTTACCTTTCTCAAACAAAAAGAAAAGGAGTTATGATTAAGTGATTCCTTTCCATAGTTAAACCAAACAAATGAAAAGGTAAGTGTTAAATAATTCCTTTCCTCACTCTTATTTGTTTCCTTTCCACTCCATTTCCAATATCTATACCAAACGCCCGTGTTGATGCCTTGATGGTATGGTAATTTTCAATATATATCTTATAACATATTATGAGACATAATTCGCGCGCGATCGATAATTGCACAACATCAATAAGCTTAAGCACATAAGCTAGAATTATATCCTTGCACATAAGCTACCTCTACAATATCATCATAGAGAATACAATGAATTGCCGAAGTGTGTATCATTCCTTTATTCAAATTAAAAATGCATTATATTACAACGGAAATCCTTTATCTTATACAGCAACATGAGTCGCCAAGGCAATGTGAATGTGGAGCTTGCGCCCCTCCACAACTTGCGATACATTCTCCATCTGAACATCCTGGATCTGGTGTGCAACGCCCACCTACTCCAAGTACTCCGATTTCTTGAGGTAACCTTGAGCTCGTAGCATTAATTCACAAATTCAAGGTCATTATGTGTAATATCCTTTTAGGCCTTCACAAATTCAAGATCATCATCTGTAATATCCTTTTGATCCTTCACAAATTTATGATAATCATCTGTAATATCCTTTCGGATCTTCACTCACAAATTCAAGATCATAATTTGTATAATATCCTTTTAAACCTTCACGTACAAATTCAAGATCATGATCCGTAATATATATCCTTTTGGACCTTCACATCATTTTGATCATCACCTATCAGTAATATCCTTTTGGACCTTCACAAATTCAAGATCATCTATAATATCCTTATCTGTAATATCCTTATTTGTAGTATCCTTTTGGATCTTCACAAATTCAAGATCATCATCCGTAATATCCTTATTTGTAATATCCTTTTATCATCCGTAATATCCTTATTTGTAATATCCTTTTGGATCTTCACAAATTCAAGATCATCATCCGTAATATCCTTTTATCATCCGTAATATCCTTTTGGATATTCATAAATTCAAGATCATCATCTATAATATCATTTTGACAATCATGAT